ACTTCTCTCTAACCATCCTGTCTCCCAAGTTCTACCACTTGAGATATTCAACCTGAGATTGACAACAATAAAATGCACGATGAACTTCGTGTGTATATTAGGAGAAAGAAATTCATTGAACAAGATAAAGATATCATGCAACTACGAAACTGTTCATAACCAAACTTGAATTCGCACATCTCTGAAGTTCAAAGAGAGGTGGAATCCAGTATAGAAGACTAGGAAATTAGCATAAATTTTTCTATCAAGAAGTATGTTGCTTATGGGAAGTTATATCACCTTATAAAAATTTTATATCTAATCTTAATAGCATGCAAATACCTAAGTCTATTTATAAAACACTTCCACAGTGAAAAAGGTCAATTGAAGAGGAGATCCAAACACTTGATAAAACTAACACATGAACCCTTACAAATTTTTCTCTAGATGAAAGACCTGTTAGGTGCAAATGAGTGTTCAATGTCAAGTACAAAGCAAATGAAAGCAATAAGAGGTTCAAGGTTAGGTTGATGGCCAAAGGTTTTACTCATTCATATGGGATACACTATCAAGAAATCTTTGCACTAGTAGCCAAACGAAACACTGTAAGAGTTCTTTTTTCCTTGATAGTAAACAAAAAGTAAAAATTGCATCAATTGATACCAAAATTGCCTTTTTGAATGAAGAACTTGAGGAAGAAGTGTGTATGGAGATCCAACTGGGAAAGTTTGTATTTTGAAATAACTAATTTATAAACTAAGAAAGCCACTTTATGGCCTTAAACAATCTTCATAGGCTTGATTTGACAAGTTTTCCATGATTATGAAATCTAATGGGTACATTCAATGTCAAACTGATCATACATTGCTTATAAAACATACACAAAGAGTTAAGAAAGTTATATTCATTGTTTATATAGATGATATGATCCTAACAGGTGATGATGAAAAAGCTATTGAAAACATTAAGGAGGTTCTTGTCACTAAATTTGATATTAAGAATCTAAGAGCTATGAAATACTTTATGGGCATGAAAGTGGCCAGGTCCAAAATGAGAATTGTGATATCCCAAAGTACATCTTAGACCTACTAAAAGAGACAGGAATGTTGGGATTTAAACCTATTGAGACTCCTATGGATTTCAAAAAAAAATTAGATTCATGGGGAGAAAATACAGTAGCGAAAAAGGATAGATATTAAAGATTGGTGGGTCAGTTTATCTACCTATCACACACTATACCCAATATCGCTAACATTGTCAACATTGTGAGTTAATATATAAATAATTCAAATGAAGAACATTTGAAGATGGTTTACAAAATATTGAGGTTTCTTAAGAAAACTCCTAGTAGAGGGTTATTTTCTTAAGAAATCAGACAATTAGGAGGTAGAAGTTTAAACTGATATTGGTTGAGTAAGAGAGCTCACAGACAAAGGATCCACATCTGGGTATTATTTCTATGTACAAGGAAATCTTATCATAAGGAGAAGTGACAAACAACCACTAGTCTCTAAAAGTAGTGCATAATCTAACTACTTGGCACTTTGAGAATCCAAAAGTTACCAAATTAGCTGTGATGCTCCCCAATCTATCTCATAAAGGTGTTATGTGACATTCAAGCTGTCATTTTTATTGTAAAAAACCCTGTGCATAATGAAAAGATCAAACACATTGAGACTGATAGACATTTTATCTCTAAAAATGTCAATGGCAGCATTATTCAGTTAATCAACAATCCAACTCATTCTCAGATCGTTGATGTTTTTACACTAAATCCTTAACTCCAAGTAGCTTCAATGATTTGAATAACAAAATGGATCTTTACAACATCTATGACCCAGCTTGAGGTGAAGTTTGAAATTTTGTCCCTGTTGGGTGGCCCAGACCCCGTAGGCCACATGGGCCCCACATGATCAATTTGTAGAAGCTATTGGAGGGAGTTTCTTTATTTCAATATTATTTCTTTTTATTTTGTCTCTTACTATATTTTATGACTTTCCTTTATTATTTATTTTATTTTTGGTAAGTTGTGATAACCTTTATTTTGTTTGCCCTGGACATTCCCTATATAATAAAGGAAAAAGTTGTAATTTGAAAACGATGGAATAAGAGAAAATAGTCTCTGTCTTTTTTCAATTTGCTATCTCTTTCTTTATTAATATTTACCTATATGAAGACAAATAACTTTGCATGCATAGGAATTCCTTAAGAGAATTCCTAATTTATAAGTTTTACTAAATCGAGATAGTTGGAGATTTTAGAAAGGTATAAATATTAAATTTAATGGAAAACATATTTTACTATCCTTCACCTAGATTAATGTTGAGTGAAATATTACATATTGTTGCTCTCGTAACATGACCACAATTACAAAACAATGCACTAGCAATTAAAGCGCATTGTTTGGCACTTATAGACCTTGAGAAGAAATCATATCTTAAATTTACCTAGAACTCATGGGGAAAAAATAATTGCACCTTTGTTATTTTTAATAAATTTTCTAAAATGAATTATTTTCGCCATTATTCTTAAATTAAATGAATGTTCTACACCATGCTAAATTACTTTCAAGAAAATTGAAAGATTGCATGGATGTTAATCCACTATTATTTATAGTAAATAGGTTAGGTTTATATCTAGTTTTATAAACACTTCTATGACCATCAGGAACTTAATTTTAATTTTATTTTGTCTTTTATTCACAAATAGATGGTCATAGTATATTTAATAAAACCTTGAGCAATCTTTTAAGATGCATGGTAGATAACAATTTTGAAACTTAACAACTAAATATAAGCTCTTGAAGAACCTCTAGAAGCCTATTGATCTAGTTGACATTCCATCTCATACATTGTTTAATGTTGCATTCATATTTAAGCATTATCTCCATGACATGAAATGCAAATGTGTAATTAAAAAAAGACAGGAATGATAAATATGCTAAATTTGACAACAATAGAAACCCAAAAAAAGAATATAGTGAGGATGACTATGTTTTAATTTGCATTCATTTTGAATGCTATGCAACTATAAATTTTAAAAAAAGTTACATACAACGACTCGTGATATCTTCAAAATTCATTAAAAAATAAAACAAAAATGCTTGTTGCTCGAATTGCTTTCTAAAATGTTCATTATTCTTATCTTTAAAGTGGATGATATTTTACACAATAAATAAATTTTAGAACCTAGAGGCTTGCAAATACTAATTTTTCAATAATTTTTTACATCAAAAAATCCTTTCCAATAAATGATTTCTGATGAACCAAAATCCACAAAAAACTATAATTTCCTATGGATTTAATGGATTTTCCCACTGAAAAATCACCAGTTTCCTATAATAGAATAATTGTCTCCTTTTAAGGATACATGAATGACTAACGAAGACATGTAGAAGCTTATATAAAATCTCATGGACAGCCATGTTGATTTTTAACTCTATGGAGAAATTTTCTTTATGGTTCAATGGAGTTCATACAAAAAAACTCTCATATAAATTAGCCAACGACGTGATCACGAACAAAAAACACTACATTTAGCTTGAATATCAATATCATCAATAGGAACATTCCAAAACTCAAAGGAAAAGTATTTTGATCAAGCATGGTTGGCCACTCCATAAAGGATTAACAACATGAGCTAGAATTCAAGTGCAACACCTTTTCCAATCAAGCATGATCCCCCTTACCCCATGTCTAAGATACATATAATCAAAATCAAGAACACTATTATTCCAAAATTGCTTAGGCATATTTTGGATTATTTTTGTTGATTGGTTTTATTTTTGTTTTCAAAAACGACTTCTTCAAATATTTTTTTTAATAAATAAACTTACATTTAATACACTCAAAATAACTTTAAGATATTTTGAGAGTTTCAAAAAATAAGTATTTAGGCCACTACCCGCTGACCATTGGCCACCACCATAGTTCGTTGATAACCAGTCATTGTAGTTTTTACTGCATCAACAAACTCTACTGACAACCGGCATTATCACAATATAAATCAATTTATTTAATATTCCATAAAAATTAAAATATATTTTTAAGATATTAAACAGATTATTTAAATCAACATACTTAAACTAAAGTTGAACAATAAGCAAGCCCTACCTTCTACTCAAATATCATACTCACCACCAACCATGGCATATTGACCACTATAAATACCCACATTCAATAACATAATCTAAAGTTGAACAGGCCCCTGCCCATGCATCTCTCAATAAGTATTATTGGTGAATACATATTACACAGAAGAGAGAAGCCATGAATTTTTTTGCCCATATTCACTTATTTATACCATTAACTGGGATGCCAGTCATCCGTAATACATCTTGGAGAAGAATAACCCGGCAATTTCAATGCATCTACAGCATGTGACATAGCTATGGCTAGCTTGCTAAGTAGCTTCTAGTCTATTTCCATAATAACAAAAACCTTGAATCACAGGTATTAGCAGCATAAACCAACCGGAAGATGCTGAACAATTTATTCATATACAGGGCTTAACAAACTAAAGAAACAAAACAATTCATCATTAATGTGAATTTCGATCATTTATTTCTTCTCATAAAGTGATTAACAATTTTCATATAATATATACTTTCTTCACTCAAGCGGCCTGTTTCATATAACACAAAAGAAAAAAACATTTGCCGAACCTGTAAAGAACTACAAAAATCTGGCAAAGCTCTAATTTTCAATAATTTATCAAAAAATTTCAGATGAAGGGCAAGTAACTTTTCAGGTTTCCACTTCCACTTCTATCAGTGAAAGAATTCAGAGAAGAATTATCAAGAAATCAAGGAAAATGCCACCGCACATTCACAGGGATATCAAAAGGTATAATCCTGTTTGGATTCTGGCAGAAAATGTGCAAGTGAAACTCATTAGTCCCACAACCTTAAGTAAATTTATGCATTTTTCTAATAACTAAGGACCATAGGACTGTTCAGTCAAGGACCCTATACTAGACTTGAAATGTGCCAAGGGAGAGGGAAGGAGAAGGCCGAAACATACCGGAAGAAGACATCATCGATAGAAGCTTCACAGTATCACTCGCGATGAAGCCGAAACGAAGAAGAACTGATCCCGTGGAACTGCACGGATGGAAGGAGCTGTATTCAAATTTATAACGGAATTGACAAAGTTCAGGGGATTCCCACATGATGAGGTACGGATGAAATTTTCTTTTCAATTTATTATAATATATATTTTTTAAATAAATAATGTAAGTTTTTTATAATAATTTTATTAAATTTGCATTTATTTTAATATAATTTATATCCAAATATTATGATACATTTCTTTCAAATATATTGTTTAAATGAAAGTATTTATAGTTAAGTGAATTTTTCAGGATGAATTTTTAAATTGGGATGCTTAATAAGCATTATAGGCAATAGAAATCGAGATAAAACATATTAAACAATGGGAGCGAAACGTAACATTTATAATCCTCAAATAATAATTATATCAAAGTTTTCTAATAGAACTATTTTTCAGCCACACTATATTTACTAGATTTCACTCCAATATTTTATCAAAGCTATTTTTTTATATTATTTTGTTATCTTATGAATCCCTATAATTCATATATATATATATATATATGTATATATATATATGTATATATATGTATATATATATATATGTATATATATGTATATATATGTATATGTATATACATCTATATATTATATATATGTATATGTATATACATCTATATATTATATATATGTATATGTATATACATCTATATATTATATATATGTATATGTATATACATCTATATATTATAAATATGTACATGTATATACATCTATTTATTATATATATGTACATGTATATACATCTATATATTATATATATGTATATGTATACATGTATATATTATATATATGTATATGTAAATATGTGTATATATATATATATAGATTGTATATATGTATGTATATATGTATATGTATATATATGTCTGCATATATGTAGGTATGTATGTACATACATATATGTATGTATATATATGTATGCACATATATGTATATGTATGTATAGATATGTACATACATATAGATATATACATACATGTACATGTATGTACATACATGTACATGTATGTACATGCATGTACATACATGTACATGTATGTACATGCATGTACATATATATGTACATATATGTACATGCATGTACATATATATGTACATATATGTACATGCATGTACATATATATGTACATATATGTACATGCATGTACATATATATGTACATATATGTACATGCATGTACATATATATGTACATATATCTATATATATGTACATATATATGTACATATATATATATATATGTACATATATATGTACATATATATATATATATGTACATATATATGTACATATATATAGATATATGTACATATATATGTACATGCATGTAGATATATGTACATATATATGTACATGCATGTACATATATGTACATATATATGTACATGCATGTACATATATGTACATATATATGTACATGCATGTACATACATGTACATACATGTACATACATGTACAT